AAGGTTTGAGATGTTATTTGTGCTCCCCAGGGTCTCTACTTCAAAAAAAATTTGGGTGGATAATTTTTTATGTTTGTTTAAACCCGTGACCACGCCCTTTTTAAAGCGTGGGAAAAATTTGACCAAAATTATCCAAATTTGCCTATATTATTTGATGAAGGTTTCTAAATGGCTTTTTATGATACTGTCAGTATAATTTGAACATAAACAAGGTAAAATACAATTAATTGAACTTAAGTGGCGCCTTAACCACGCCCATTTACGCCATTTTTGGCGCAAAATGATGAAATTTCAAATTTTGTTGTAGCATCATGTGGGGTATCAAACCTTAGGTATTTTGACACGAGAAAATGATTGATCGTGACATTATGCTTCTCAGGGGCTATCTAAGGTGAGCAAGCTGTTCAAATAAAACTCGACATTATAAAGCAAATTATCAAATTTAGAAAAGAAGTCAAAATCAAGAAACAAAGTATTGGTAACCTGCAATTAAAATTCATCTATTCTTACAGTTGACACAAAGACAATAGTCAGTACACTTTAATTGTCCTTCTGCTCTAAAGCATGAACATACTTTCTTTTGACAACCTGTTTTGCACTTGCAAGTTTTAAACAGGTCGTCAGGTAGTAAGTTCAAGTTCTTGCAAGGGAACAGTTCACCTTCGTTATCTACCCAACTAAAATCTGTTGGTTCCAGGTGGGTATAATCCATCGCTAAAAGATCACTGCATACCTTGTACAAAAACCACCATCGTTTGATGTGTCCTTCTATGATAGAGTGAGAAGTAGGTTCTAATTCCAGAACTGAACTGGATCTCTTCCAAGTTAGTACCCTGAGCTCATCAAAGGTTTTGGCTAGACACGTGCTCCTGCAGCTTGCAGCAACCTTCACTAAGTACTGCTCAGCTTCTTGAATTTGCTCGTCATCCAGGGTAAACTTCTCTCCGAACTTTTTTAATGCAACTTCCGGGTTAGCATTAAGGCTGCTCTTCTTAGTCCCTATCTTACTTAGGTAGTCAGCGCCTGTACCCAAATGAGCTTTCAAAAGATTCTTGCAGAATTGTTCCCCCAGGTTCAAATACATTGTATGTATAGGAAACATCTTTTTGTTACTCCCTCGGCCCTTCTGAAGGTACAGTTTTTGTAGTCCTTGTTGACTGAAATGTTTGAAGTAGAACAACAAAAGTATCAAGACATCAGTATCATCAGAAATAACAGTGACTGAAGACGGTAAACAGTTAATGACATCCCATTGAATGTGAGGTATTAGCCTCATATCCGCCTCTTCAAATGGCAGTTGAAGTTCACTTATTTCAGCAATATCCATAGCGCTGTTCAGATGTTGAGCTGGAATCGAATCTTCTCCATCTACAGTGCCGCTAACTATCAATTGTCTATTTACTCGCTTGGCCAAATGAAGCAAATATGACTTGGCGAATCGTTGGAATTTCACCTTATTATCACTTAGAGGCCAAAACTTCCCCATTTGTTCCGGTACCTTTGTGTTTTCGTTAATCATAGCAACCCTGATCACACCCTTAGCCTCGGCAAGCCTTATTCGTCGTTCACCACTCTTTAAGGATGAGTCAAGATAGCTATCAAATATGATATGAAACACCTCGGCAGTTGGGTTGTTCTTCAAAATTCTTGCAAACGCTTCAGCAATCATGGAACCGAATGTCCAAGAGACATGCTTCCAGGTTAGATTAAAACAGAGTGGCGCGGAAGCTTCTTGAACAGCCTTGTCAAGATTCTGGCCTCTGATGAAAGACATAAAGTCAATAACAACAGCATTGTTTTCACCTGGAAGGTAGTTGTAATCGTCTACTGTCAGCTTTGCACGGTTTTCTACTTCTCCAGACATTTCATGTTTTCTGGGCTTCTCCATAAGCAGGCCATCAAATAGAGGATTATATCTAGTAAGATCATACTTTAACACTTCACGCAGATCACCTTTCTTTTCTTTGGCTATGTTCAAAGTTTTAATTGCCAACCTTGAAGACTTTTCATTCTTTTTGACTGCTTTTGAACTGTCGTCAAATTTAACTGATGGTACGTGATCAATGGGTAAGAGATTGTGCTTTGTGATCTTATCTGACAAGAGCCTGGTCTTATCAACATAAACAAGCCTGTGAAATTCATTATATTTTTCTTCCGCTTGTTTGAAGAATTGGCAATGTTGATCAGCGATATATACATCCGCATAAACTTGCGTCACAATGTTTTTAACTTGACCATGATGTTCTTTGAGGAAAGGGTTACCCTGTAAGCCTATGTACTCTGCGAGGTTTCGAGTATGACTATTGATCTCTTTAGTTTTTGATGGACGAAGATGATGATGAACTTGCATTTCAGAGTTACCTCGTGGTATATCAGGCACCACTCCGCAACATAATCAGCTGATTTAGTGTTGCCAATTATCCCATGAGAACTCTTGGCACTCTTATTGATAGTCTGCTCAAGAGCTAGGTCTGGGGATACAGCATTAAACGACCCAGGTGTTCTCTTTACTACGAAATTTCCTCGAATAAATGCATCATAGAGTTCAGGGTGGGTTGTTTTGGCCCTTTTTAATAGCTCAAGATGAAAAGATCCGTAGCGTAAATAATTCAACGCATCACAGCCCAAAAATATTGGTAGGAGGCGTTCCAAAGTTTTCATGTTAAGGAAGAAGTCCCCATCTCTCTCAGAACGCACAAAATCTTTAATTGTGTCGATGATTTTCACAAAGTTGAGCCAAAATCTACATTGTGATGAGTTTTCACTACATTTGATTGAGAACGCTTCGATATCATCCATTAGTCGTTTCACTTCTTTACATGTTTGCAGTTCAGAAATTAAAGTCGTCGACTCAGTTTTGAGGTTCTGTACAAGAGCACACTGCAGCTGATCAAGTTTCTGTATTGCTATTGAGTAGTCGTTCATAGAGTTCTCTTTCCAGAAAGCTTCCATTTTGAGCTTAGTAAGTGCATCACCTAGCATCATCAAACCATCAAATGACCGATAATAATGAGAGCCACTCATTACAGCTTCGACAGTTTTCGGTCCAAATATGTTACACTCAATGTAAGCGTCTTCTACCCCAGAGCCCCGAACGAACTTACCAGCACAACGTAACGCAGACTTTGTCAAATGAAAACCGCCGAGAAAAGGAAATATCCGCTCAAAGACGTCAGGTTGTTGGAGATAAATCTTCGTCACTAGGTGATAGACTCCTTCATCGCATATAACAGGCAGTGTCTTCTGTTTCAAAAGTGCTGCAATGCTAGCGCAGTTCTGCAAAAGGCTGTAAACTGTCTCTATTTTGGTAATGGGGTGTGGAAAGATGGGGAGATATCCAACCGTTTTCAACGGTACATCGTTGCTAGTTGATGTGAGAACTTCACAACCGGCCCAAGTTGGTATATGTGTGAGTTGCTGAGTTTCTGGGAGTGGAGTTGATATGTTCCTTGTAAGATTAAGTACCTTTTCTTTTCTCTCATCAGTTTCGTATTGAAATCGTTCTGATTTGAAGCTTGATGGTAAAGGTTGCTCCTTGCTTTTGAGGTAAAATGGCAGCAATTTCTGGAACGGCAACTTTGATATGTACTTCCTGCCTGATACTACAAAATCCGTATGGTGGGAAACTCTGCCTTTGGTAGGAGGGCGGTAGTTTCTTTGACTGAACGGTACAGTTTGATACATGACCAAGACACTGTCGTGGGTTTCGTTCTTTCCAGTTATCGATGATTGGTCATTATGGTCAAAATTATCTATCCCCACACTTGTCTCCTGATTCTCATCAAAATTACTCGGCAGCGAGACTTTCATAAGTAAGTACTTGGTCATGATAAATAGCCCTAACAGCGCTCTCAGCCTCAAAAGTTCTGGATAGCTAATGCAGAATCCCAGGTGGTTGGATGCTGTGATAAGTTCCCTACTGTGACTTTTATGGTAAATTGCATGAGCTTGCATGATATGGAAAGGTGTTCTTATTTCTCCATTATTTGCCATATAATGCATAACCTGAAAGAGGGAGTTTGCTTTGAGAATCTTTTTCGGACTGTTTGTTAAAACTGATTCAGTTTCATCTTCGATTTCATCGTCAGTTTCTGATATTGTATCTGTTGCCACACTCTTCTGATACTTGAGGAATGTTGCCTTGCTGATATTAAGCAAACCCCCCAAAAAATCCATTACGGACTCCGGCATTCTTGTATCCCTCAGAGCAGTCTGCAAATCTACAGCATCACAAAATCTGTCTTCAAGCCCAAAAGTCATTCCTCTCAGCTTTGTTCGTAAAATTCTTCCTGCAGATTTCACTTCGTTCAGGACTTGCAGCTTTTGGATCATCGAGGCAGCATCTGTTGAGGAGGAATACACGACTTCCGAGTCGCTTTTCCTGTATGGTTTACAGAATGACACTTGATCGGAAAATTTATCAACAACAAATTTTTTAATCTTGTGATTGTAAAACTTGCCGTCTGGGTGTTCTGCAGACAGAAAATCCCGAATACTTGAAACTGGCAGTCCATATTCTCTATCAATTAATTCTTCGATTATTGGAGTTACTTGATTTTCGTATATTTTCGATGTTGATGGAGAATCAGAGGAAATGTAAGTGATTTCACAGTTCTTGTGAGCATAGCAATATGATTTCACACACTCTCGTTCTTCGTCAAATTTCTCTCGAATCTTGTTACTTAGTTCATCGTCGTAGTTATCAACACTCTTAGCGATTAGTGCTTTAATCTGTCCAACGGTCAAAAGATTACGTGATTTATCAACAGGTTCCTCGCATAAAAGGCATTTCGTAACCAATCTTTGATAACGGGATAAAAGTAACGCCAAACAGTTGTTGTGATAGTAGAGATCCTGTGCGATCAGACGTTCGACTGAGTCTATATCAGCTAACCGCACCGCTGCACTTTCATCTTTGAGATGTTTTATAGCCACAAGCACCTGTTTTGCCCTTTCAACTTCACAAATTCTGTACTTTTCTCTGATGTTTTTACCATTTATTGTAGTCTGCACCGAGTCACACATAAAACATTTGGTAGAATTCAAAACATGCCCTTTCGTCTGTATCTCAGAACCTGAAAAAGACATCTATAAATAACTTAAATGGTCTGTTGTTTTTTCTTAACTATTAGTAAAAGGTTGAGTGTTCCAAATATATTTTGTACACCGTACAGCAATCATAAAATTTTGAAGAACAGTATAAAATCAAATTTCCATCAAAAGTGACACACATATTTTAAGGATCGATTTAAAAACAATCAAGTATAAATCGATTATTAGTTGATTGATAATCTTAATCAGGTAAGATTTCCAACAAAGCGATAATTTTTATGACAGATTGGACGTTCATTACTTGGAGTGTTTCTATTGGAAGGGGTTTTGCTTCGTGTATTCCGTTCTGTTACGTTCGAACTCTTAGTATCAGTAGACTGTTTACTCTTAAATTGTGCATAAAGTCAGCAGACAGAATATATGACATAATTTGACCATTTAATGTTGTATTGCCTGTATTAAAATATAGGAAGATGTTCTTGGCAAAGGATTGAAAGTTTAACTCACGTCTTTGCTTTCATCTTCCTCCCGTGCACGTTTTCTTTCTTTAATAGCATCTAAAGTTTTCTTGTGTACATAATCCTTGTAGCACCGATTCAATTTCGCGTGATACTTGAATCCATTTGGTAGCAATGCAATACGTCCTAATACCTTTCTATCTGCTCGTGTTTCGGCAGCCTAGAAAAATAGGCTAAATCTATTGCAAATTTTATGCTGCGACACCTCAGGAGGTATTGTAAGGAAAGAATTAAAAATTGTCAAAACCACACAATTAAATGTTGAAATGAATTTGCAATAGTTGTAATAGTTGTAATGACTTGTTAAGATTACCTGCAATACTTTTGTCCTGCCATTGTCACTGCTACTAAGTTTGAAGAGTGTTGTGCTGGCGTCTAAGCAAAAGATACAGTGTTTTTCTGGATCGTATGCCGATTCTTTAGATAGTTTAAGAGATATTGATCCGGTAGGCTGTGACCCTCCAGCCCCTGAATCATGACCGCTACCCCCAATGCAGCTCATAAAATTGGGTTGTTTGCAAAGGCAACTGTTTAACGAAGTTAGCACAAAAACTGCACAAATTTAACGCAAAGAAATAAAATAATCATTGTATCGATTTTAGGGGTTTTAGTCAATGTCATGGGACATCACTTATCAGTTTTTTGCTTGCTCACTTGGTTTCAAATTACAGGAGGTCCTTAGTTTTATCGGCTACATTAAAGGAATTTATCACGAGTAGGTGATGTTAACCAGAACAATAACTGATCAGGGAACACTCTATTCGAAAAAATACCATCACCAATCATTTTCTCGTGTCAAAATACCTAAGGTTTGATACCCCACATGATGCTACAACAAAATTTGAAATTTCATCATTTTGCGCCAAAAATGGCGTAAATGGGCGTGGTTAAGGCGCCACTTAAGTTCAATTAATTATATTTTACCTTGTTTATGTTCAAGTTATACTGACAGTATCATAAAAAGCCATTTAGAAACCTTCATTAGATAATATAGGCAAATTTTGATAATTTTGGTCAAATTTTTCCCACGCTTTAAAAAGGGCGTGGTCACGGGTTTAAACAAACATAAAAAATTATCCACCCAAATTTTTTTTGAAGTAGAGACCCTGAGGAGCACAAATAACATCTCAAACCTTCTAAACTCGCTAAGTTGTGCCAGTTTTAGACCAGATACAGGATTATCTGTTCTATGCTTAACCCACCTTCTTATAGGACAGAATGATAGATTGTAAAGATGCGGATGTAAGTTTTTGTTTTATAAATCTCAACTAATACCGAATAATTGTTATACATTGATTCAATCTACTACTGTTGATAGGTATTTAAGAATTTTAAATATTTGTAAACAATGCTTAACGACCAACTTTTCAGCATATAAACGGTGTTGAAGAAATAGACGATCCAGATTTTCAGCATATAAATGGTGTTGAAGAAATAGACGACAAACTACGCAAGCTTTTTGTTGGAGGCCTGAGCGAGCACACCACCGAAGAAACTAGCAAAGAATACTTCGCACAGTACGGCGAGGTTGAAAATATTAATATTCTCAGATATGACGACGGAAAGTCTAGGTGAGCATTGTCTTAACCCCTCCTACGTAGTGTTCTTTGTGTGTAAAGGTTGTTTGCTCTGTGTGGTGCCGTTGTAGATTTTCCAATCAGCTCTCTGTGCTCAGAAATATTTATATTTGTACGCCCGAGCTCACCGTATATTTTGTGATTGCTTTCTGATACAAGATACAGCTCCTCTCGTGATATAGCGCTATGATTATAATCATATTGCAATACTCATGTGGCTGGTTGTTGTCTAGTATGTCTGTATCGTAGTCATCAGGTTTTTGTAATACGTTTGAAGCGTCTTGGCCATCACATCTAATCAGTTCTGTGATGATTTCATCATTGCACGACTTAATTTTTGTATTTCCCGCAGAAAATTCGGATTTGTGACATACGCCAGCAATGACGCAGCTAAGAGCTGCCTCACAGAAAAGAAAGAAAAGAATCACAGACTGGACGAAAAGGAGATTGAAGTAAAACGAGCCATGCCCAGAGGCAACAAAGACAAGAATGCTAGTTTGAAAACTCACAAGATTTTCGTCGGAGGTCTTGATACCGATGTTGATGAAGAAACAAGTAGGTGATACAGCTTCAATTTTGCTGCTAATCTGGCTAGCAGAAACTTTATACCTTACACATCAGTTGATCTGGGAGCTCAGTGTTATTCTAATTCTAAAGTTCTGTAAAGTAACATATTCATTACTCGTTTTTCTACTGTTGCTCAATTTCAGTAAAATCATACTTCGAAGACACATTCGGTGCGACCGTTACAAAGGTTGATTTCATCAAGGAAAAGAAACAAGAAGGCAAAGAGCAGAAGCGACGTCGGTTCTGTTTCCTGACTCTAGACGACACTGATCTAGTCGACGAACTGTGCATCAGACACTTCCATGAAGTGGCCGGTACCAGGGTCGAAGTCAAGAAAGCAGAACCAAAAGGGTCTCGTCAACGGTACTATGGCGGTTACTATGACTACGGGTACGGTCCGTACAATGACTATCATGGTTACTACAATGGTCCTGAATACTACAACGGTGGTGGTGGTGGTGGTGGCGGCGGCGGCGGCGGCGGCGGTGGTTACGGCTACGGCTACGGCCCAGGTCAGTTAACATCAATTTTGAACCAATCTTCAACGATTCGATTGGAAGTCAGTTTTAATATAAATTCATTTCAAATTCGGTACACAAACTCTAGTTCGTAATAAACTATTAAATTTAAAAAACCGTTTGCAAATCCATAAATGATCCTTAATCTCAGGCTACGGCTACGGAGGTTACGACTACCCTCCTCAATATTACAACGGCAGTGGCCGAGGAAACACGCGAGGTGTGAACTCCCGACCCCGCTCCAACAACCCCAGTCGTGGCGGCGGACCCCAGCAGCCGCGTAAAGGATCCAACTATTAGGGCTGTCCTCAGTAGAGAATAAAGATGCAACACAACTGGTGACATCAAAACAAACTTTACTGACACTCAACTTGCTTGATTGCCGGGCATGGGATGTGATGTCCATTTTAGCGTTTCAGCCCAGATCTTTAAAATTAAAACATGCAAAAAAGATAGGATAAAAGCCAGAGAAATGGTGAAAGATCCTGGGTCCCATAACGTTGGATGTCTCGTTTCCGTGCCACAGATAATGTTAGCAGTTCTTTTAAATTTTACCGGATTGAGTAAGTTGAGTCGAGTGTTGGTTGAATGGTGTGGTTATTGTTAACACATGTTTAATCATATCTCTTTATTATGTGAAACTATAGCAATGCAGCGCATCAAAACTGAATTCACACAGCGGTGTGGCCTGGATCCAAACATCAAAACAAAATAAATCAATTTCAGAATATCTTATCCCTTACCAAACACAAATTTGCTGGTACACACGTCTATCCCAGACGTTTAATTGGTTCAAGATGCGTTTTGGAAGGATCAGTTGCCACACCGTTTTTCAATAGATATAAATGAGATCGATATTGAGTTTTATTTTCACGTTTATATATAAGTTATTTATAACGAGCTTCGTTGTTTTATACGAAGCCATTTTGAAACTGGATTTGTTTGTTTATGACGCTGTTAATATATTGTGTTGAACGCAATAGTTAGCGTCACCAGACTACGGTGCTTTGTGAGTTGATGGTGTCAGCGTGAGGATGAGGAGAGGTAAAAAGTTGGACGAATTTCAGGAATTTGACGTTTTATTTCTTTTAAGGAGGTGAAAAAGGTGATTTATCGTGAGAATAGCCAAGGTTTTAGATGAGTTGTGTAAGCGCGAGGTTTTCTCTCCAATATTTCTCTCCCCAAGTGGTAACTGGCACTGTTAGCTAGAATGAAAAGCCCACAGAAATTGTGATCAACGGACAAGGCAAAGCCTGGAGTTTATATCCAGGTTTAAATTACATCAAACTAGGCTATAATTGAGAATTTCTTAGTGCGGTGACCCTCTTATCCCGCAAACTTTTTCTCTTTTGGGGGCCTGGAACGTTTATTAAATCTATTAAAACATCTGTTTCGGGTATATCTAGTCCAGCTTGTCCAGGCTCCAGTTTAAAGTGTAAATTTAATTTACCAACTTACTTCTTATGTAAGATAAGATGAGTCAGATCGTTTTAATTACATAACTTATATATATATAAGATATTTATTTGGACTTCATTACGATCTCTAAAAGATAGGACAAACTTAACATCTGATGATAAATTATTGCAATTCCAACATACAATTATTTTCTGTCCGGGTCGATTCGTTAATTTCGATTTGTGTATATATCTGATCTCTGGGTTTTGATGTGTCTTTCCCTGAGTGACCAGCCAAGATTAAATAGTAATCGTCACTCTACCGCCGACGACTTCACAAAAAATTGCCAAGACAAAATAACAGAATATTTGCTTCTGAGTGTAAAGAAAACAAACCACTCAAATTTGTGCTCCTTGAAAAAACAATTCCTGCTGTAAATCAAGTGTCTGATTTACTGCAGTGAAAATCAAATGTTTTACCGATCTAATTTTTCAAAAAAAGGCCAAATTCAAATTTACCCTTTTTTCTCTGTGTCACCAGGGACATGACATTGCTATGGCTCGACGGACAGGGAGCACTTAGCTATTTATGGGGTATTTTGCGTCCCTGTCCCTTTCTCGGGCCTTCTTTAAATTTGATGATTCAGTTAGTTGTTGTTGTTATTATGTAAATTTCATTTTGAAGTTTAAATTATTCTTATATTCCCGACTTTTATTCCATCGCTTCACTCGTCAAAATTGTCAAACATTTTCCCCCAGCTTTTGCATACATTCCTCATATATATTATATGTAAATTATTGCAAAGAAAAAGGTTCGAAATGGAACTAAATATCCAAGTTTAATTCTCCGTCCATGCTCCAACATTTTGCGTTTTAATGGTAATATTTCTCAGTAGCGATAAAGAATATGTTGAAATACCTCCGGTGTTTAGTAACCAGTCCACAGTGGGCCACCATACTACAATTGACGAAAAATTGAGTTCTTTTAAAAGGAATTAAGTAAGTTTTGTATTGCAGTAAAAAATCTTGGCTATTAGATGCAAAAAACCATAATTGAATTGATTAAATGGCTTTCGCGCAGCGCGTCGGCGAATTTACGAAATTTTTTGACTGCCAATTTTTTCACTTTTGGCAGTCAAAATTGGCATAACCCATCATTATATTTCTAAAATTGGCTTAAAACACCGTATATTGACTCCTAATCAAGGTGAAAGTACTCTCTTTGCTTCAATTCATGCAAAAAACCATGTAATCATATCATTTAAGCTGAATTTTTGGCACGCACTCAATTTTAGGCCTCATTTTTGACTAATTTTTGCTTAAATTTGGCCAAAAAAAGTTTATTTGCCTCAGGTTGCCCCACTAATGCATGGTACCATCTGAAAGCTCAGACGATTCTCTAAACAATGGTAGAAGAACTGTTCTGGGTTTTTTTGGGTCTTTTTCAGAAAAAAATTCCAAAGTTGAAAAAAGGCCCAAATTTGATGGAATTTAGACTTACCTTGCAGATTTGAAAAAAATTATTTTTTCTCAAACAAACCCCATTTTGAACATCTTTCTTGGCTCTCAATGTCGTGGCCTGGTGCCATGAGGTTATGGGGTACTAAAAAGTGGTCTGTTTTGGAAATATCATCAAAAAATGCTATTTTTCTGGAATTTTACTGGTATTTTCTGACAATTTCAGAAATTTCTGGCATTTGCGCCCAATTTTCTGGTTTCAATTTGACATAACTTTGGCTACGATCAATATTTTTTCATAATTCGAAAACTAAAATGATCAATAGCCTCAGGACTATCAATTTAAAAACATTCTAAACACATTCAACGATTATCTTTAGCAAAAACTCGAATTGGATGCCTCTAGACCTAAATTTCAGCCATGAAAAATTTCTATGGAATGAGCCAAAAAAATTTTTCTGTGACTTATAAACGACCAAAATTTGTTTAAAAATCAATATTCAACTGATTTGAAGTAAAAAATAATGTTTGAAATGATCTAAATTGATCACTGATGGTCTATTACAGTATGACCCCCTATTCTGGCCCACTGTGCAGTCCCAGGGACCCCGCGTTTGGCAGAGAGCCAGGTGGCTGAACTAACCGAGATAACATTAATCCTTGATATTGGATACACTGTAATCATGCGTATAAATGCAACAGAACAGCGTTCAATCCAGCATTCCAAGTAAGTTATTCTAAACGTAAACCTGCGTCATATACTTTTCATTTAAAACTGACGTCAACAAATTGATCATATAAAAAATTGGCACAACTCCAATTCTTCTTAAGATCTAATTACTTCCAGGGTGCAATTATAGCTAGTAGCTGAACAGATCACCTACCTGACACCTAGATAGCTGAATAGATACTGATACTACCTAGTTGAACCTAGCACCAACTTGCGACCTAGTTGAGACCTAGTTGAGACACCAAGTTGAGACACCAAGTTGAGACTTAGTTGATAGAACTCTAGCAGTTTGAACATTTCAAGTGGACAGTATTTACATAAAAACAAACTTCGAAAATTGATTAGCATTGTTGTACTACTTATAAAATTTATATCTTAAATCAATTGTTTACCGTTTAATTTACTGATCTACCATTTTATTATTGTATAATGTATTTTACTATTTATTGTATAAGTCACACTCATGACCTAAATCCTTAGCTGGCTCAATAGTTCGGGTTGTTACTTGTTGTAATCCACAATGGCTGAGGTAATACATAATGTATAATATACATAATATACATAATGTCAGTGTACTTCATACATGATAATATGGTCTGTTTCTCTGCTTGATTTGATTTACAATGGCTCTAAGTCTTGATACTATCTACCGTTATCCGCTCTTTGATTTATCTGTAAAGCTGAAGTTTCCGGTGCCAGCTCTAACATAGTTTCTCTTTCCCAGGCTGTCACTGAAACCCCGGTCACTGATGCACCCGAGGCTCCGGAGGCTGAAGAGAAAGTAGCTGAAGAGATGGCAGTAGAGGAGACACCAGCAGAGGAAGCTCCAGCAGCGGAGGCTCCAGCAGCGGAGGCACCCGCAGAAGAAGCATCAGCAGAAGAGAAACCTGCCGAGGAAATGCCCGCAGAAGAGGCACCAGCAGAAGAAGCACCAGCAGAAGAGAAACCAGCAGAAGAGGCACCAGCCGAAGAAAAACTTGCTGACGAAAAACCAGTTGAAGAGAAAATGGATTCCGATTCTTACGAACCCGAAGAACCAGAAAACTTGAGGAAGATCTTCGCTGGAGGGCTGAACAGGGAAACCAGTGACGAACAGTTCAAGGAGTTTTTCTCTCAGTTCGGCAAGATCACGGACGGTGTTGTAATCAAGGATCAGGGACAGAGTAAGTTGAACAGTTATTTTTATTACATTTTATATGCTCTTTATTATTGTGTGAAACATGTTAAGTGCGGCTATGGTCATCTCTTTTTAAAGAGTTGGCAAACGTTGTGGAAAATGATAACTAGTTTGCGGTTAAGGTTGTTGTTATAAAAATTAACTTACTTAAAGCTGTGGAAAAGTGACCTATTTTAAGGTTCGATCATCCCAACTTAAAGCTTAGTGCGTTTATGACAACACTCCATAATTCCATGCCTTTTAACTTAAACTTAAATTAATTAACCTTTATATTCATTTCAGTAAGCCGAGGATTCGGTTTTGTAACATTCGAGAGAGTATCAGAAGCTGACGCCTGTATAGCAGTCAAGAAAGAGGGGGGCCACGAACTCGACGGTAAAACAATCGAAGTGAAAAGAGCTATTCCTAGGGAATTCCAGGAACCTTCCCAGCACGAGAAATCACAAAGGTATGTCCTTCTGAAAACCAACGGCATATTTTGTTTTTCGTTTCAAATTATCCTAAGTCACGTACACTGTACAGGTATCATTATATTTGTAGAGGGACTGCCTAATCTAAACACATGTAGAGCATAAAATGCGTTGTGGACTGTTCAAAGTATTATGCATACATAGAGTGTTCACATTGGACCACCCCACATCAGTGTTAAGAAACAGTAAGCAAAAAGCGCGTTTTAGCACGCATTAATATTGAAAACATGGCCATTGAAACATAGTGCACAGCTGATATGTGTGGAGAAAAGTTTGAAGTTGAGGCGTGGTCCTTTAACTGGTTGTGTGTGTGTGTGAGTGTGAGTGAGTGTGTGTGATAGTTTGCACGCGCTTTGCTGGTGTGAGTGGGGATGCACTGTACGTGTCAGTACACGCAGGGGGGATCAGGTACTAAGTTCTGTACGTGACGTCGACTTAAGTGTATGATCCTCCCCCCGGTACACGCACGTGCAGTGAGTGCTGCACATTCTTTTTTTACTGGAGAAATGTAGATGTGGATTCTGGTGGGAAGGTGAGGCATATTTTTTTGTTATGTGCGACAGTGATTGTTAAGCCGATTGGTTTATTTCTGTCACGTCTAAAAATACGCCTCCCCAGAATCCTCATCTATTCTGCAGAAAGCATTCTAGAGAATTCTCCTGTTTTATTGGAGAATGTGAAATATCCTATATTATAACAGTTCCAACCCGCAGGATATATCTTGGAAAAGTGAGAGAAGGAATCACAGAAGAGAACGTCAAGGAGTACTTCGAAGCTAACTACGCGTGCAAGGTGGAGAATGTCGACCTTATTAAGAATAAAGAGGGCGAAGAGCCAAAACTCAGGTAATTATAATAAGCAAGACGATATAATTTGATTTAAAAAATTTGTCTCAACTCTGCTCTCTGCTAACGTTAATTATTTTCTGAAATTAGTCTGTACTATGAAGTTACATTTCTAACGTAATTTTAATCTAGGGGTTTCGGCTTCGTGAGTTTTGACGACGTGGACGCGGTTGATAAGATAATAATCGTCCGTAACCATGAGATAAATGGGATCCAAGTGTTTGCCAAGAAAGCAGAACCGAAAGGTGGCAGTGGTGGTGGTAGGGGACGTGGTCGTGGACGAGGTGGAGGTTTGTTCATTTATTTACTTGTTTATTTCCACACTGTTTCTGTCATTCCTTGGTTTATTTTTGCAGAATCTAGCTGTATAAACGTTAATGTAAGCTGATGATTTAGATATGATAATCAAGACAGCTCATTCCACTCATTATCACTACACCAAAGGCATAATTTTAGTTATATTTCCTCTCTAAACACTAATTTTGGGTATGATCCAACCCACAAATCCTGAGATCATGTTTATATTGGACGTTTACCGGGTGGCTTGCGGAAGAGATAGCAAGTTGCTGTAGACTTACAGTCCAACATTTAACACCATCTGAGATCTCTGACATGTTACGTTATATCGTGACACTGTTCGTACTCTCCGAACATCAAACCATATTATATCATCTTTGTACTGTCCTAACATTAATTCGTGGCAAACCTCACGCAATACATTGTATCTTTGTACCATTATTTATCACGGCATACCATAATGTCAATATTCTCTGTCAATAAGTTAGTGTTTAACCATCACCAATATTCTTCAGGCCGTGGACGAGGTGGCGGTTACGGTCATCGTGGCGGCTACGGCGGTGGCGGTTATGGCGGCGGCGGATACGGTGGAGGTTATGGAGGCGGTGGTGGGTACGGCGGTGGATATGGTGGCGGCTATGGTGGTGGTTATGGCGGTGGGGGCAACAGATTCCAACCTTATTGATCATTGAAACTGGACTCAAAACACTTCGTCACAGCTTATC